TAAGTACGAGAGTTTTGAATCTGAAACCTCTCATTTATACTTTGTTTCCAAATAGGTTCTTACTTGTTATCAACACCATAGTTTATTAGAGATCCACAGCATAGGGCAAATAATAACATAGCATGGGGCCAATGTATTTCACAGTCATAATGATGCAAAAGAATTATATAGGGTAGAATGGTGCAAAGTTAGCTTTTTAGATGTGTGGCTAACAACGTGGTTGTTAAAACTTAATGCTCACTCATTGATAAGCATTAATACGACTGTTAAATGTGCTTCATTTTCTTCTCTTTGTAGGTCAGTTTAGTTAAGTATTTCTTTCTCCGTGGACTAAGTTATCACCCTTTGTTCCATTCTGATCCCGTTTCATCTTCTCGAGCCATCTATCTTTCCTCGGCAAAATTTTCCTTTCTCCTCCCGCTCTGAGGAAGCAATATGACGCAATTAACAACTAATTTTGCGACAAGTCTTGCTTTAAGGAGTTAATTCTTTGTGAATCATGTATGTTCCACTGGATTTTATTATTCAGACAGTCGACTAGAAGTGGTTCAACCAGATGTTTGGAACCTGTTCATGTTTCATGTCACAACAATAAATTATAGGTGTGATATGTCATAAGAACGTCAGTCATCAACAAATGTTGAAGATCTAACCATACTTCAAAGCTTTCAACTCTAACAATGGCCTTTTTAAGTATTCCCAAAAAAAAAGAAAAAGACCATTTAAGAACCATGCGTCCTTTGCTTGCTGGAAATTAACCATTCGCATTTTTAATCTTCTTATGATTCTATGGCACTGCTCTCTTTCCGTAATCGTCCGCACAAGATTTTGCAAGAGGCCATCGACAGCGATATCATGATTTACATTTCTTAGTTGCCCACATAGATCCATGGTTGCAACTGCAATACGCAAAGCTGTGTAGGTCCCTCCTCATCTTGTTTACTGATTTTTTCTTTGTTTCTGAAAGTGACCAAGAAAAACAATATAAGTGTACCTCTCTTATTCATCAGCAACTTTCTATGTTGTTAAATAGTCGATCTATAACATCACCCTTGGCTGCCTGATGTAGGCATTATATAGTCTTATCCCTATTTTACATTTTTGGATATTTTTCTCTACAGATTGGATAAGAATGGGAAAAAAATGAAAGAGAGAAAGAGAGAGAAGTCCGCATATTTTGTTTTACTTTGCTCGAGTTTGATCAAATTGAGTCCATTCAAATTTAATGGAGACCAGTTGAATTTATAATAGTAAATAAGAGATAAAATAGACATGTAATAATTAAAAATATTAACATGCGTGTGTGTGAAAGTCGAACGAGCTCAATTAATTAAGCTTGATAAGCTTTTGAGCTTGAATTTAAACTCGTCAAGTTGTTCAATCTGAAGTTCAATTCAATTTTTATGTCACAAGATAAATCAAAGGTTTGATGCGAGTGTCATTCGTCTAGTGCATTTGGATAGGAGATTATTTGGGATAATTTATTAAAAAACTGTAATATATTTTTTATATGATAAATGTGCGATAAAAAAGTAATTAAAAGATGTGTTTATAATGTAAGAAAAATAAAATTGTGCAAATAATAAACTATCCAAACACTTTGATAACCTTTTCCCATATTGCTAAAACAAAAACAAACATAGTATTCTGGAATTTTTCGAGCACGTACGAGTGCCCTTCATACAAATTTATTGCATTCTAGCTCTTGACCAAATTATATCGGGTAGTCAGCCACTGTTACATACAACACGTAATAATACACAAACTACTATTTCTGAGCAGTAGTAAAACATGAACTGTTTTTCGATCAATAGAGACAATCAAACCTTAACGCAAATTATTCAATGCAAATGCTTGGATTGGGGGTCGCATATTCCAGAAACTCAGGATCTTTTTCCAGTATGGAAAGTTCAGCCTCATCAGAGGCCAACCACAGCTCTAACCCCTTACCAGTAGTAGCTTCCAAGAACACGAATTGTTGCTTGGATCTATAGCCAACCATATCCCCCATATGAGCTACCCAACTGGGCGTTCCCCACCCAAAATCAACGTCATACAGACCCATGTTGTTTGCGCTGGTGAACCGGAAGATCTTTATATTTTCATTGGTATACACGCTTTCCAGCACCTCATTGAGGGCGTTGAATGCCTCATCGGCATCTAGCTCAGCAATACTGTCCTTGTTCAAACCGGCAAAGGCTTCCCTCAATATTTTCACCAGATCAGCATGATCGATCTTCTTCTCGGTGTTGGAAGGGTCGATTTCGTAGAAGGCAAAGGCCAACCAGATTATGTTCCCGAAAGTGTTATCAGGCAAAGGTGGCTCAATTCTCTGTCGGAGATTGACGGGATGAGTAATCATCAGCGTCGAGAAAATTTCAGATTTTGCTGCTGTAGAAGCCCAAGTCAAGCGTTCGGCCACGAAGGCAGATAATGCTTCCACGCGGGACGGATTTGGGACCTTTTCGCTGGCAGCGTTTGCCCTGAGAGTCGTTAGTGCTGTTGCGTCGAAAACATATCTTCTCATGTAGGATTTTTTTCCCTGGAAGAAGAAGTTATCGAAGTATCTCACGAAATCATCGGATAAGGGATCCTTGGGAGGGAAAAGGGCTGATGCTGATGAGAAGTCTGGTTCGACAACTTTTTCACCGCGAGCAACTCTGGCCCAACTGTTGAGAAAAGCAGCGGAAGCAGCTGCATCTACAACTTTGTGGAATAGACAGGCTCCGACAACAAGACCACCGCATTGGAATTGCGTTATTTTGACAGCAACAGGGGGTATTCGGTCCTTCTCCAGGCCGTTGGCTTTGCACGGGAGGAAATTGTTGAGGAATTGGACATCAGGCTGTTTGAGAAACTCGGGTAAAGTGCCATTTACCTGAGCTTCTACGTACAACCCTCCCTCATCATTGCATTCGATGGTGGCAGCGTCTCTGAATCTTCCCGCAAGAGGGTAGTAGATCGCTAGAGTTTTAGAGAAAGATTCCTTCAGGTGAGACAGGGTTTGAGCAGAATCTTGGTGGTCTAGACTGTTGTTCTTGTTCTTGTAGAAAAGGATGAATGGCATGTAGGACGATGGAGAAAATTGGTCGAGGAGGGAAACTTTATAGGTGTTTGGGTGATGATGAGGAGTTGGTGAGGAGGGTTTGATTATTTCCTCTGAAAGGATTTTGACGTTCATCTTGCAAGATTTGGAGGGAGCTTCTGTTAGCAAAAATTGTCTATGCATTTGCCCTGCCATTTCCCGGGATTCGGAATGGTTTTATAGGACTATATGTATATGTACGAGGGCACATGCGTGGCCATCAGATCACCACGCTCGTCAATTAAGATTGCCCATCCATCTGTATTCAATGCATGTTTGTTGAACCGTCAGTGGTAATTGAGACGCTGAAGTTATTCTACCGCGCTGTGGTAAGAGCTAACACCATCCGTGTCAGGTTAATATTTAAAAAATATGTCCAGCACTTGCGTCTGGTTTACCTGCCTATGCCAACATTTAAAAAACAGTAACAATCAAACTTAAACCTCTCGATCCCTTCGCCAATGCGTGTTAGGATCATAAGATGTACGCACTGGTGATTGCTAGGCTAGCTATGATCTTTAAGCCACGTGGATGATTTGATTTGCTAATAATATCATCAAAAGGAAACATGCATGCAGTTGAAGAATCGACTAAACTTACTGATCAAGATGTGTGTGGTGTCCGAGTCAATTCTAGTGTACCTAATCTGTGAGTGTTGGTCTTGCGGGTTTCCAACTGTCCACCGGCTACATGTGAAGGAGACTCAGCTGTTAGTTCTACTTCTAATCTAAACCGTTTGTTTCAATTTGTTGGTCATGGCTTGAACTGATTTTTTTTTTTTTTTCCCTCTCCTTTTGGGGGCAAAATTTACTTGAAGAAGCCAAGGGTACGTACCATCGTTTTCCCAGAATGAAGAAAAGATGCATCCTATTGACAACTTTATTCCCTGTTCTTTTCGCATCAAATGCAAGGCACCTAACCAATCAATACTTGGAGGAACAAGCTGTGGACATCCTCTCAGGTACAAAAAACAAATACAGGGCATTTATGTTCATGCGTTAAAGCTACATCAGTCATCAAATATCCCCCACATAAAACGGCTCGCATTTCCAATTTCAGACTCCGTAAAAGGAATTGCTCCCACCTTGCAGATTATAGCAAAGCTTCAAAGCAATCCCTGTGTGCAAGGGAGCCGCCATTTTTTCAAAAACAAGTTTTTTAATTTTATTATTAATTTTATGCTGAACCACCTCTAAGACTTAATTAAGTCAGTTAAAGCAGTTGCCGCTTTTCGGACAGCCATACGGGCTCTTTCCCTTTTATTATCGTTGTTGCGAGTGGCAAGACTTATCAATTCGCTGTTTCTTTTTTCTCTCTTTTCCCCTTCTTGATGTTATAATTAGGATATAATTTGCTAGTATCATAAATGGCTACAGTAAAATGCTTGAGGCATTCATTTTACAGGGTAACCTAGCATCATTTACTAAATTTTACCATCATCACACGTATATCATTATAGCTGGAATCTGATGGTCAGGGATTGCACTTGCGTTATATACCGCATAGGGTTAGCATCCTCCTCATTAGATTTCTCTTCATTAGTCTCTCTATTTATTTATATTTAAATTTATATATAATGCCATAAAATTATGCGATTGTGTCATTACTTTTATTCTGAACTCTAGATCAACATACTAGAATATAATTTTTTTTTTTGTGCATATTTTAACATTTACTTTATGCAAAATATTTGAGCGGTGGAAAATGGTTGAAGACCCAAGAAATGTAGCCAGCTCATTTCGACCTCGCTATCATTGGTATGCAAATAAAACCTGTAACTTTAGCGGAAGATTATCAGTAGCCCCAACTTACAATGAATTAGATCAAAATTTATCACACAAGGACAAGGATATCGATATGATTTACAACAATTCCAGAGTTAAGAATATCTTCTTCCCATTGCCAGATGAATATGTAGGTGGAAAGTATTTTGAAATTGAAATTGGTAGGAAGTTCTCTTCATGCGGGTAAAACAACAAAGTCATATCCTCAATTGGCGTTCAAGTCATTAATAGTTGCCAGACAAAACAAAATACAAATGTTCGCCAGAAATGACAAAATTTGCCACTAAACAGAATCGTTACGCCACTCGTCGGACAGCCCCTCAATTTTGCGAGGATAAAGAAAATCTTTTGCGAAACAATCGGACATCAAGTCCGTTGGAATATGCCGAGCCAAACTCAGCCCACCCAGTGTCAAAAAGCTGCCGATAATCTTAAACGATCTGGGCTGGCGTTGAGCCTCGAAAACGAGGCCCAATTTCCCTGTGAGCTCAGCTTGGTCAAGACTAGGCTCGGCCTGATTACAGGTCAGTACAACTAGAATCTCGTTGTGGGAAGAATCGTTGCTCTTCAGTCCCACAGAGGACAAACGCCCGTCAACACGCACCAATTATACTACAAAAAGCTTCCATAACATCTGCTGATAAATAGGCCTTATCACTTAACAGCAGCTGGGGCTCCAAAAGATCCGTGTACTTGAACACTAGGCCCAGAATGTGATGCCCAACACCAAGATTTACACAAGATTTCTAGAACTTGATTATCTACGCTGTGGCAGGCCAGAGTCAAGACCAAAACCAAGCCCAGAATGTGATGCCCCTGTGTAAGCTTTTCTGGGCTGGGCGAGAGATGAAGAGGTGCTGGAAAGGCCCCAATCAACTGCCCCTCACAGCATCTGCAGAAATTCAAAAAAAGAGCTCTCTACCTTAGATCCGAAAGAAACAACGGTGCTCAGTTGGCAACCAGGCAATAACCTGTTATCACTGATGCAGACTCGGTACTTAAAACTGGGGGATACAAGAAGATCCCACGACTTGAACCCCCTTTTTTTTTTGTTGGGGGTCTATCACTGTGGCACAGAGTTAGCATCCTGGCCTAGAGCGAGCATTCAAATGATCCCAGATTAGACTTGCGAAATACAACACGGGAAGCTACTGTTGCTAACGGCCAAAGAACAGCCTGCAGGCTCTTTTAAGTCGTAAATGCTCCAACTTCATGGTGTTATAGAGGCCTGTTCTGCATTAACCTCCTTCCAAAAGGCACTCATATCTTGCATCATTTGTCAACCCGGGAAGACAACCAGCATCTGTAGATCTCACCAATTGCAGTGACATGAGTTCCGGGAAACAACAAATGCATCAAAGGAACTGACGAGGATATGTTGACAAGCTTGATTTTCTCTCGAGCACTTCTAACTCCAATTGAAGGCGGTACACCATGCCACTGTAGATACCAAGAAAGAAGTATTGATCGCTTCCATCCCGTGGTATCTTTTTCTGGCCATCTCCCCGACAATAGGTACTCATGGACATCATTTGTGACGCATAAAGAAAAGTTCAGAATCTCTTCCAACCGCTTTTTAAGCGACCCAAGAAAAGTGGATTGCACAATGCCCCCATTCGGAATTGTCAATCTCCCATTGAGCAAAGCTTCATTATAGGCAAGTGCAAGCTGTACGACAACGAAAAGGAGCAGAGACACTATGACGGTCAAAATCAAGTAGCACTTCCTGTGGTGGAACTGGATAAGTAATACAACTTGAAAGAAACAAATAGTTGGAACTCCAGTTTTGGAGAGGGAGGGAGTGGGTGAAACCCGCGCTGGGGGGGGGGGGGGGGGGGGAGGAGGTTTTTAATTCAGTACATCTACTAGATGAGGAAAACTAATTCTTGAAAGTGACACAACCCTAACTTCTGCAATGTAATGGCTCTTATGCCTTTTTGTTGTTTTAGTTTTTAGTTTCTTCCGTGCAAGTCACTTTTCCATGTTAACTGCTGTAAAGACAGTGCTCAAGCAAAAATTAAATTCCATATCAACATGGATTGATGATAAGTAAATTTATTGTGATATTACAGCCACAAGAGTGCAATTGCTTTTGCACTTATATCTAAACCAGGAAGATGCATTTATCCAACATATTGAATGCACAAAGCAACCGAGTGATAAGACCCAAAATGGCCTGACTTTTACTCTCATATGCATCCTTCTAACCAACATTTCAAGGGCAGCGTTATCTCAATATATATAACTACGTAGTAGTTGTTATATTATCAAGGAAGATCCTAGAAGAGAAGTAATCTGAATGTATACCCTAGGCCAAAGACTCATTCATGTTCAATTATATTAAAAACAGATAGAACATGTAAAAGACCAATTAGAAATTCAATGAAACACTTTTTACATCCATTCTTAATACTACATTACAAGAATCAACAAGGTAGTTTAGTTCAAAATTAAGCAAGCTAGTGCATTCTAAATTGCAATTTGCAAGCATAACATAAAGGCATCAGACCTAATAAAAATGCTGCTTGTGGTTGAATAATCATAACTGGGTATTAAAAGCACTTGTTTGCTTGACAACAAAAAGTTGAATATGAGGAATTTGCACGGAAAATAAAGATTTGAAGTACCTTTATACTCCAGAGAGAAAGTGAATCTCCTAGAGAGCAAGTAGCACTAGTAATCTCATCAACCATAGACCCAATGGTCGTGTACAATGACAGATACACCTACAACAATCATAGCATTGTAAATTTTAATAAATCGCGAAAAAGAGTATTAACCAACAAATATCTAATAAAGCTTAATGTTTAACAGATACTGCATGTACTAGAGATTTGGGTTACAATTCCACTACCAACATACACCAGGCCAAAGTACAATGCAAATATGAATGCATGATATAGTTACCTGCAAGAAAGCTGGCCTATCCTTGCTCACACACTCAAACAACACTTGAAGGCAAAACTCCTGGAAGTCAACGTCAGAACTGCAAATAGATTTGGAAGGAAAAATATGAAGTATTCCAACATAAAAATAAATCAAGTTGCATGGTAACCACCCCAGCATTCAAGTGCATAAGTGCAGGGGGACAAAAAGGTATGGACCCATATGAAGAAAACAAGACAGACACAAAATACTGAGAAACAAAAAGCAACGACCAGTAGCACATTCAGGTGTCAGCTGCCACTGCCGGAAAGGTTGTGGTATGATCAATCCAACATTATCAAAGTCGAGCTGGAAAGCCTAACATCCTGCATCTAATTTTACTCTTGGGCTTTCTTCTTTGGGAGTTGGGACTGGCAGATAGCGCATGAAGACCCTTTGTTAAAATTGGCATTAAGAAACAAAAGGAAGTTTAAGGTTCTACAGTCATCCAAACTCTTGCATCTCTTTAGTAAATAAATATACACCAAATGAGTAGCACTGTTGATATTCGTACATTTAGTTTTTTTACGAGTAAAGCATTACAAAAACTGATTTACTTTCAGGGATTTTAGGGTCATGATCAGCAAATTCCCAATGTCTTCTGTAGCCTATCTATTAACCCAATGTACGATGGACCACAATTTAAAAATGTATTACCCAGAAATCAAGAATTATTAAGCTTAGCAGAAGAGTAAAGTTTCATTTCTGGCAACTCTTAGCTAGGTATCAGGGATTCCTAGGTAACCTTGGGGATGTTAGTTTTAAGATTTCCTAAAGGATTGTACTCTAGTGATTACAATCAAAATTCGTCAATATTAGTTTAGCAGCTCCAGACATGGTGCAGTCTTTCACTGAATGAACTATCTCAGTATTCTAAACATTGAATCTATGTTGAATCTAAATGAGAATTTATATTTTGTGCCCTTGACCACATTTGCTCCTAACTACAGGAACCAAAATTATCATTTTCCAAATTTTCTTAGGTATCTATTTCCTTATTGGTGCCTCAGCACATGTTGCCACAGTTGCTCAGGACTTGAACCATTCAATCAAAAAACTGTTCCCAGGGAATAAAATCTTAAAAAAAAGAAATGAAAAACAAGATAGAAGACAAGTTCAACTCAAGAATAACATAAGAACCTAAAGCTTCATTGAGAATTAAAGAATGTTCGGTCTAGCACAGAGGTCAATTAATTGGAATAATGGAAACAAACTGAGAAAACAAACAAGCATTACCCTCGGAATAGCGGATAAATTCACTAGGGATGACAAAGATGGATGATGCCCATCCTTACCTGTTGTTCAAGGAAGGCTCGCAAAAACGTTGAGCAAATGCAATCAAGCTTGGATCAGATGAGAATGTACTGATCAACTGATCTAAAGTAACTGCACCCATGCGCTCTGTTCTAGTAGATGAAGTTCGTAAACATGCTAAACCAACCTGTACTAATGATACTCCAGTCAACATCACAATCTGGACCATATTTTATAAATTAAAATTAATGAGGCTATCACTGGAGAATCAACCTTGTGCATTGCTCGTGACAATAGAGACTGACATCCTACAGGATCATCCACATATGAACATGCTCCAACTTTTCTCTTTATGTAAAGAAAACCAGAATTGAATGGGTCATCCTTGTCTCCAGAAGCCCACCAAGGTTTTTCTGTGAAAATATTACAGACATAAGGAACATCCAATAATCATAAGATATTTCATCAGAAACATACACGATTAATATCATATATACCCTCAGGAATGAGCTCTATGACATGAGGCCAGTAACGTGGACCACAAACACGAACTGTCTTCAACTGCAGCAATAATAATTTCATGAGCATTATGGATGAAAAACATACACAAGATGAAAAAGGTTTTGCAGTATGTTAATCATACATCTTGTACTAGAGAGCAAAACTATGACATCAGGATTGATTAAGTAGGCAAGAAAATTAGGCAATTAAGGGCCATTTAAAGTCTCTCTAAATCATCTTCTATAGTCAAGCAGGATCGAAATGATATACTCAAGTACAAGCACAAAATCAAGAAGATAACTTACAACAGCACGTTCAGGGAGAATGCAAGGGGTGACCTCACAAAAGCTTGTTTCAGCATAGTGTTCAGTTTCTCGAACAGTAATTTCAAGAGGAGCATAAACAGGCATACCAGTGTCAACATCAACTGTCTGAACCAACCGAGCTTCAGTTGCAAGAACATATAAATGCCTGAATGCCTGTAAAGACGCCGCCCTCAACAAATTAAGGATTGAGCAATTCAACATAAGAATACCCCTTTTAATCCTATTATGATGTTGATCAGGGAGACAAATTTTATGAGAGTCCAAATGGGATAAATCTTGCTATTTTGGGAATCAGGAATCCATATAGAAAGATAAATGCTGATGAGTGATATCATGCAGAGCTTTGTAGCAGTAAATGGAAGGAAATAATAACATACAACTTTATATAATGCAGAGTTATATAGCCCATCTAAGGTGGGTGACCCTCTGGTGATATTGTAACAAAAGTGAACTTTGATTATCAGGTACTTTGATTCTCAAACAAGGCGTAGAACATTGTATTCTTCCAAGAGAATACAAGAGCACTCACAGATTTGAGATAATAAAAATCTAAAACAAGAAGCAAGCCTTTTCCCAAATTTCAATTATTGGGCAAAACTAAGAATTCATATTTGATACATGTTCAGCACTTCATGAAAAGTAATGTTGCTCCACAAAGTAGATGACTTGGGCACATATTTCCTACAAGTTTGCCAGAAAAAGAAGTCCCATCCATGTAGGTACTTTTTTTGGTCTTTCAAAAAACCATCATCTGTCAAAAAAAAAAAACAAGTTTACCTGAAGGTGGCATCTATTGTCATTTGGTCCAGCAGGCAAGCGTGGGTAGAGGGTAATTAATAAAGCAGCAATTGAGGTATTGCTCGTTGAGAAAGTCCTCATTCCACCCCCAAGAAACAAGAAACCAATACCCAAGCTAACCTGAAAAAATCACGAAGCTTGAACCATAAAACCAGAATGTACATATATAGGTCTCTTTGTGTATATAAACATACACATCCATGATATCCAGAGATACATCTCTTAGTGTTCCAATTGTAAACTGTGGATTATAAACCTTCTCAAATTCTTGCCATTTTTAAATATTTGGGCATATGTTTTCACGTGTACCAGTAGAAGGTAAATAGGCTGATCCTAGCATGTTAGAGTGAATAACATTCTAACATTGCAAAATTACTTACTGCCATCTGAGCACCATAATTAGAATGCCCCTCTGTTGAATTTCGGTTTCTAAGGAATTTCAATAATCTCAAAGTTTGAAGATGTCCTGAACCAGCCATAACCTGCTCTGATACAACAGATCTCATACACTGGCGGTTGATATATTGATCACAGAGACAAGTAACATGCATAAAAAGGGCCACTGACCACACATAAGGAGAGAACAATGAGATGAAGACACGTCTCAAGGGTGCCACGATCAACATAATTAGACAGTCCTTTTGGCAACGAATGTTTACTTGAAACAGAAACTGACTTTATCTGCAAATATAGAAATGAACTTGATACACTCTGACAAACACGTGAAATAGTCGGACACCAGAACAAAGGACAGACCTCATTCAGGAAGTAGACAGCATAATCATAAAGCAACTCTTGTGACCTTCCATCCCGGGTACCAGCAAATCTCAGCCCTACAAACATCAAAAACAACTCAAAATTCAATACAAACCATAGAAGTTTAAATGACACACTTGCAACTAAAAAAATCTACCACTCAAAGATGCTACATCTTATACTCAGTCTGTCAACTAACAGTGATGAATACAATACCAAATGCAAATCCAAGGACAGAGATATTTGTAGAAAGAAAACCATGAAGAAACAAATCAACCATGCATATCAAACACAAATTCCGTGAAGCAAAAGTTAAGAAATTCTAAATATAGTACATCAAGGGAGGGGGAGTCTGTAACCTGCATACCCAGCGGAAGATAACAGTGGTAAAGCTTCAAGAGAACAGTTAAATTCATCAGTATTAGCAAGAAGAACAGCAAATTACCAATGGAACACCATATACACAACTTTCCTGACAAAAAGTGCTATTCAAACTTTGAACCATCTTTTCAAAGTTTTGCTGGTGGGCATCACAGTTTAGAAGGAGAAAATTACTTTTTTTAAAAGGATAAAATTATATTAACACCTAATTAAGGAAAAAAAAAAGTTAAAAAAATAAAACACACACAATTTGGCATAAGCTATCAGTTTAGCCCATGACAAGACTATATAATGTAGATCTTGCTTTCATATTCTTTCTCAGCAAAACTATGATAAGTAGCTCAATTGTCGAGACATGGAAATCTGCAAACTGTGCCAGAAGCTATCAACATAGCAAATCAGACAAGACTCTCCAACATGTAAAATCCATCTTTTGCACTATTGACTCCAAGTAGGAATGCTTATCAGTGGCTATGTGGTACATGCGCAACAAAGAAATTTGTTGAAGGTATGTGATCTGATATTATGGAAAGATTTGACATTGTAAATATTAAGAAAAATTAGATTTGATTGACTATAGTATCATATATTAATTAGGTAATAAATTGATTTAGATTAGCATGATTTTAGAATCTAAATTAAATTACATTTGTGTATATATATTTGTATATTGTGTAGTCCAAAAATATGAAGAAAAAGTATTTTCTCTCTTTTTTCTTAGTTTTCATGGTATCAAAGCTCTAGGCTCTGTTATCAGTTTATTTTTTGACGTGACCCTATTGAGTCACTTTTAAGTCTTTTTTGTGTGAATTATAATGGCAGATATGAAAGGTAGTAGTAGAGAGATGAAAACAGTAATTTCTGATGTTATTCCTACAACATCAAAAATTACTAAACATAACATCAGAAATTACTGAACACAAATTGAGTGGAAAAAATTTTTTGGATTGGAGTAAAACTATTCGGATATATTTGCGCAGCATCAATAGAGATGATTATCTCACTGATGACCTACCCGTTGATGGGAAAGAAAAGAAGGTTTGGCTAAGGGAAGATGTAAAACTATTTTTGCAAATCCGAAACTTTATTGATAATGAGATAGTCAGTCTCATCAATCATTGTGAGTTTGTTAAAGATCTTATGGATTATTTGGCTTTCTTGCATTCTGATAAGGGTAATTTAAATCAAATATATGATATTTGCAACGAATTTTATCGTCCAGAAAAACAGCAGAGATCCCTAACAAAATATTTTATGAATTTTAAACGTGTATGAGGAGTTGAATTCTCTCCTTCCTTTAGTACGGATGTAAAAACTCAACAGTCTCAACGGAAACAAATGACTGTAATGAGTTTTTTTACAGGATTACCAATTGAGTTCGATGCTGCTCGAACACAAATTCTCTCAAGCCCAGAGATTGTTTCACTCCATGAAACTTTCACACGAGTGTTGAGAACCGAGGAATTTGTCTACTTCCAATGTTATTAGTGCTCTCGTGAGTCAGAGTGGAGCTGGTCGAGGAAATAATGGTAGAAACAGTAGCAAAAATGAGACTAGTGGGATTGCTGGTCATGGAAAACACAACTCAAATCAGCGAGTTTGTTATCACTATAAGAAATCAGGCCATACCATACATACATGTTGGGACCTTCATGGTAGACCTCAACAGCAACCCCCGTTTGCAAATTTCGCAACCCAGAAAAACAATTATGTGCCTTCTGACAAATCCATACTCATCTCTGCTGATGAGTTTGCCCGCTTTACTGAGTTCCAGGCCTCACAAAAATCTGTTAACTCATCTTCTAGTATCAATTCTCCTTCTATTGATCACTCAGGTAAATCTATTATATGCCTTGTGTCATCTTCTAACAAATGGGTCATCGATTCCGGTGCAACAGATCATATGACCCGGTAATAAGGATATCCTCTTCTCTTTTAATCCTAACAAAGATCATCCGAATGTTACTTTGGCTGATGGGTCATGTGTTTCAATTGTGGGTTCTGGTATAACAATTCCTATATCATCTATCCTTCTATATTCAGTCTAATGTTTACCTAATTTTTCGTTTAATCTACTCTCAGCTAGTAAAATTACAAAAGCTCTCAAGTGCTCCGTCTCATTCTTTCCTGAATATTGTGTTTTTCAGGATCTTATGACGGGGAAGATTATTGGTAAAGGACGTGCGTCTAGCGGTCTGTATACACTTGAAACCCCTTCATTGAAGATGCCGAAACCTGTTGCATGTCCCTCCATCTTGACTCCGCTTGAAATTCACTGTCGTTTGGATCATCCATCTCTACCCACCTTGAAGAAGTTGTGTCCAAATTTTAAGAATTTATCCCATTTAGATTGTGAGTCATGTCAATTTGCCAAGCATCATCGTTTGCTTTATTTGCCTAGAGTCAATAAACGGGCTTCATCACCCTTTGAATTAGTGCACTTTGATATATGGGACCCTTGTCCAATAGTATCTAAGTCTGGTTTTAAATATTTTGTCACCTTTGTTGATGACTACTCTCGTGTTACTTGGTTATATTTAATGAAAAGTCGTTCAGATTTATTTAACATCTTTTATTTCTTTTGTTTTGAAATAAAAACACAATTCAATCTGCCTGTCCACATTTTGCGAAGTGATAATACAAAAAAGTACTTTTCTAAACCCTTTAATTCATATATGTCAGAAAATAGAATCCTTCACCAATCTTCATGTCCTAACACACCACCACAAAATAGTGTTGCTGAAAGGAAAAATAGGCACTTATTAGAAATTGCTAGAGCCCTTCGATTTCACATGAAGGTTCCTAAGCAATTTTGGGCAGATGCGATTTCAACAGCCTGTTTCTTAATTAATCGCATGCCATCTTCTTTGCTTGCTGGTGAAATTCCTTATTTAATTTTGTTTCCAACCCAATCTTTATTTCCCATTGAGCCACGCATATTTGGGTGTACTTGTTTTGTTCGTGATACCCGTCCTCAGGTATCTAAATTAGATCCCAAATCTCTCAAATGTGTGTTTTTGGGTTATTCACGTCTTCAAAAAGGATATAGATGTTATTCTCTAAGTTTAGATCGTTATTTAGTCTCTGCTAACATTACATTTTTTGAGACGCATCCATTTTTTCTTGAGTCTAATGTCTATAGTAGTCAGGGGGAGAGAGATGATATTCTAGTCTACACTGTTACGACTAGGGCTGCAAACGAGTCGAGTCGAATCGAGTTTTGAGCTAATCGAGCCGAGCCTCGACTAAATTTTACCAAGCTCGAGCTGGACGAGCCGGCAAATTTCGAGCTCGAGCTCGACTCGAATCAAGTCGAGCCGAGCTCGAGCTAGAGCTCGAAAAAAAATAAAAAATAAATATTTTATTTTAAAAAAAATAAATAAAATAATATTTTTTTCTTAATAAATAATAAAATATTAATGACATATACGTAATTTTACTATGAAAATAAAAAATAAAAATATATATATATAATATACGTAATTTTATTATTAAATAAAAATAAAAATATATATATACCCAAGCTCGCGAGCCGGCCGGCTCGCTAACGAGCTTAATATTCTGAGCTCGAGTTCGAGCTCGAGTTTGACTCGAGCCGGCTCGAGCTCGACTCGAGTTCGATTAACATCAAGCTCGACTCGAGCTTGACTCGAGCGGCTCGCGAGCGGCTCGATTCGTTTGCAGCCCTAGTTACGACAACTGTTCCTCCAAGACCACCGATCACTTAAGTGTATACTCGTCGTCCTCAACACATAGACTCACATCCACCACCACCTTCTCTGTCTACAGATCCGAGTCCTGATCCACCGCTTCCTCAGTCTTTAGATTCCAGTCTTGATTTGCTTATTGCTTTAAAAAAAGGTAAAAGACAGTACACTTACCCAGTTTCATCATTTGCTTCATATGATCATTTGTCTCCCTCCTTGCGTTGTTTTACTGCTTCCTTAGATTCAATATCTCTTCCTCAACACTTATCTGAGGCTTTGGAACATCCTGGTTGACGGGCTACTATGGAGGAAGAAATGATGACCCTACATAATAATGATACCTAAAATTTGGTTCATCTACCAACAGGTAAGAAACCTATTGGTTGTAAATGGGTGTTTGCTCTAAAAGTCAATTCTGATGGTTCTGTTGCTCGCCTCAAAGCTCGTCTTGTTGCAAAAGGGTATGCTTAGGCATATGGGGTGGATTACTCAGACATGTTTTCTCCTGTAGCAAAACTCACCTCTGTTCGATTATTTATTTCCCTTGCTGCTACTAATAATTGGCCTTTGTACCAATTAGATGTTAAGAATATATTCCTTCATGGGGATTTCCAAGAAGAAATTTATATGGAGCAACCACTTGGATTTGTTGCTTAGGGGGAGTTTGGTAAGGTTTGTAGACTCCGAAAATCATTATATGATTTAAAACAGAGTTCTCGTGCTTGGTTTGACATATTTAGTGAGGTGGTTCAAGAGTTTGGCCTGAAGAAGTGTAATTCTGATCATTCTGTCTTTTATCAACAATCTAAAGTTGGTATTATCCTATTAGTGATTTATGTTGATGATATTGTTATTACTGGTAGTAACAATGCAGGTATTGCAACTCTTAAAAATTTTCTTCAATCACACTTCCAGACAAAAGATTTGGGTATGTTGAAATACATTTTAGGCATTGAGGTTACAAGATGTAAACAAGGTATCTTCTTATACCAAAGGAAATATGTCCTTGATCTTTTGAAATCAACAGGAAAGCTATGCAATGTACCAATGATCCCCAACATGCAACTTACAGCAGATGATAGGGAGTTATTTTCAGATCCTGAAATGTACCGGTGATTAGTGAAAATTTTGAATTATCTTACTGTGGCTCGTCCGAATATTGAATATCCGATTAATATTGTGAGTCAATTTATGTCCTCACCAAGAACCACCCATTGGACAGTTTTAAAGCAAATCTTATGTTATCTTAAAGGAGCTCCAGGACGTAGTATGCTATATGGTAATCATGGCCATTCTCATGTTGAATGCTTCTCAGATACGGATTGGGCAGGTTCAAAAATTGATCGAAAATCTACAACTGGATATTGTGTCTTCGTTGGAGGTAATTTGGTATCGTGAAAAAGTAAGAAACAAAGTGTAGTATCTCGCTCTAGTGCAAAGTCTGAATACCGGTCTATGGCACAATCCACTTATGAGTTTATATGGATACATCAATTATTGTGTGAGGTGGGAATCAATAACTCACTTCCAATGAAATTATGGTATGACAATCAAGCTGCCCTTCATATCGCATCAAATCCAGTTTTTCATGAGAGAACAAAGCATATCGAAATTGATTGCCACTTTGTTCGTGAAAAAATTCAGCAAAACTTGATCTCAACCAGTCATGTGAGAATTGGAGAACGGTTAGCTGATATTTTCACTAAGCCTCTAAATGGTCCGAGAATTGATTACATTTGTGGCAAGATGGGCATGATTAACATCTATTCTCCATCTTGAGGGGAAGTGTTGAAGATAAGTGATCTGATATTATGGAAAGATTTGATATTGTAAATATTAGAAAAGATTAGATTTGATTGATTATAGTATCATATGATTATAATATCATATATTAATTAGGTAATAAATGGATTTAGATTAACATGATTTTAGGATCTAAATTATGTTACATTTGTGTATATATATTTGTATATTGTGTAATCCAAATATACGAAGAAAAAGTATTTTCTCTCCCTTTTTTCTTAGTTTTCAAAATTAATTATTAATTAACAAAGAAAGGCTACGAGAACAGTCTGGACCCTCTCAACAACTACAAAACTAAGAATAAAACAGAACATATTGGGTAATGAATATAAAAAATGCTTTTAAAACAACATAGCATACAAAGCATCACATAGGCAAGGCAACCAGACTAATGTTTTCTAGATTCATACGAAGGAAGCAAAGTATAGACCCCTATAACAGACATAGCTTAAGAAATAAAGAATGCTTCAAATTGTAAGCCCCAAGTAACGAGCTCATCCAGTGTACGTAAAACTAATCACAGATATGAAACAACAGGCAACAACAAAGAGAAATACTTTCTGGGTACAAAAATGCATAGCTTACCAAGAGAAATACATGCTCCAACCACTATATTGACGAATGCCTGAACAAAAGCTTCGGCATCCATGTTATTGGCATCATCCATCTCATCTGCAAGGCCATCGATGCAATGTTGGACAACTTTGGGGACCTGGGACTGAATCCACTCTTCAGAAGGATAAATTCTGAAAATCGAATCATTACTGTCAAACTACAGAAGGAATCAAGCCAACAACCCATTGGTTGAAATTTTAAGTAAATGATGCTACCTGCTCCAAAGTATCAAATTCCGTGCAATGACACGAAGCATTATAAAGTCAGGTCTGACATACTGTAAATCAAAGTGTGTTTGTGGAATAGACAGCCGAGACAGTATTAGCTTTGATTCTGTCTGTAAATCAAGTGGGAAAAATGAGTGATTTTCAAATAGAATATCTAAGAATATTGTTTATAATAGCCAATTCTCAGAGAGCAAAATTACCTTCATATACATTAGAGCCAAAGCAACTATTGCTCCAGGTGCAGTAACGTCAATATTTACCAAAGTCCCATCCATTACCTAATGTACAGTGGAAGCAGCATTTAAGAAAATGGAGAAAATGAGCCATTAAAACAGCAGATAACTAGCACCATATTTCCAACTAGATTGTGTAAATATTGATATAACCAGCAGAATTGGTACTAAAGAAAGAAGAGTGATGTAAAACCTGTCCAACAGTTCGCTGGTGCTCATCAACTGGTTGCGTAAGAAAATAGAATCTTTCCTGAAGAAGAAATCAACAAACTCAAAAGGAGAATTTATAAATATACATTATATTGCAGCACTTTTGGGAGTAAATAAAGACTATGGATATACAGTTTTCTGTTCTTTGCCACCAATAAATTGGAATAACCGATCAACCAAACTTTCCATGAAGCCAGGGGCATCTTCACCACGACCTTGGGTCAAAATATAACAGTCAGCTAAAACTATTAGCTTTATCAAATTCATACACCTAAGAGATAGAGTACCATACCCAAGGCAACGAGCCCCAAAGCAAATCCAGCAGAAACTGCATAGCCCTCCCTTTCAAGCACATTATCACCTCCACTTCTCCGACCTATTTCACCCTGAAAAGGTCAAAGATTAAAGTTGATAGAAATATTACACAATAGGAGAGCATTTGCCACAACATCACATCACCACTCTTTTTGCATTCAAGAACACAACAATATCTAAGGGCACAATAATTCAAATGGTAGAAGAAGAAGTTCTTGAACCCAATAATTCATTGGCTCTCAAGTATCCCTAAGGTTGACAACTTTACCACTATAGGCTGGTAATTCTGCAGAAAAGATGTTTTCCACTTCATATTATGTTAAAATCATTTTCAAACCAAATCGCCCTATCAATTGTACATCCAAGAAAATAAAATTAAAGCAAGGCAATACTTGGAGGAACAAAATATCACCGAACAACATCCATCAAAAGGTCACAATAATCCACTCTCCATGAGAACTTACAAACTTTCAAATATAACTGAGGAATTAATAATAATAATCACTGCATGTATCCTTTGCAACCTATTTCTAGCCAACCAGTCGATAAAGATCATCAGACAATGTGCATTGTGAGGCCATGATAGTTAACTTCCCCAAAAAAAGACCTAAAAAGTACGTGAGCATAAAAACTGACAAAAAAGTAGACAATCTGTGCATGCTTCCCATGTAAAGACTTTTTTCTACTGAATCATGGAAGGACAGCACCATTATCAAACTATTATGTGGGAACATAACACCAAAAAAGAGCATTTGGACTGTTTTTAAAAAATGCTTATTACACTATTGGATCAGCAGGACTAAAAACGTAAGACACAGTTTTCAATGTTTAAACTCAGAGCAAAAACCAACAGAACTAGTACTAATACATTTTATATATTTACCACAATTGCAGATGCATCAGTTACATTTATACTTCAGAACACATAAAAGGCCACTAAATAAAAGATGAAAAAGTACCAGAAGAATTTGCATTGTTTGTGGGTGTGCCGAACCTTCATAAATAAGCCCAACAGACAGAAGTGCTGCTGACTGAATGTTTCATGAAAATCACAACTCCAAGTGAGAATCAGGGTGTAAATAACATAGTAACCAGCTTAAACAACTCCTGGTAGATCAACAAGAAAGCTTTTGGGTAACACTTTTACTAGCAGATGTATTCTTTCACAAGAGAAACATTGATCATCATGACATTAAACAACACGACACAAAGAAAGAGGGGGGGGAAGAAGATATATGGTACGAAATGAATAAAAAGTTGACACAGGAATCGCGACAGATCTGGAAAAATCAGAGATATCATAGCAAGTTCAGCAAAAATCATATTTCAAACATAGAGAAACATGTTAGCAACATGATGCTTGTATGCTTTTTGAAATGCATAACAAAATATAAGTACAACTGAAGGTTATTTTAATGAAGCCCATACGGAAATGAAGACAAAGACGTAGCAACATCCAAGATCACAGAGAACTCGTGTAGGTGTCATGACAGTACCTGTAGAAGAGTTGGTAATTCTAGTTCCGGGAAGGAAGAGGGGTGCCGAGCCGGTATATGCACATATAAAGACTGTTCAAAACAGATCAATTCAGCAACTACCATTAGCAGCAAAAAGTCACATTTTAGCATCATATCCAACAATAGCATGAGATGCCCCTACCATTTAAAACAAAGATTTGTAGCGCCAGTTCAATCTTACTCTAAAATGGGATAGACAATGTAAAAAACTAACAAGAACAATCCAATATCATCAACAGGAGAAATAGTTTCAAAACCAGAACTAGAACCAGAACCAGAAGATTGTTTTGGGAACAGTCCGAATGACGTACATATTCTTTAATGTAAAAACTGACATTTGCATAAACCTACTAGGAACAGCAGTATCCAGTGAAAGAACCAGAAAAGAACTAGCTAAAACTCTTTTTATCAAATTTCAGTTCACATAGTTATGACAAATAAGAAATGCACTTCACTGCCAGAGTGGAGAAAAAAATTTGAAAATAAATCAACTTCCATAAAATCACAATCTTCGCAGGATTCAATATTGCAAGTCGATTCATTAACACAACAAACATTTAGAAGGAAAAACTAAATTTGGGAACTCAGAGAGAGAGAGAGAGAAATAGATTCTTCCACCTTAGAAATAGCAGGTTGCATAGTTCCCCTGTATGATGCAGCTAGACCAAGCATTAGCCCTACAGTTGTGCTTTCATGTTCCTATAAGAGAAGGTCACAAACGTTACAGTACTCAGAGCTGAAGGGACAAGCATGTATTCAACAAGAGAAATAGTATCACCAATAGCATCCAGGGAAAAAAAAAGAAAAAAGAAAAACAGGAAAGGCACTTAAGCACTAGACAGAGAAGAGGCTGATACGATATCAAAGAGGAAATTCACAACATAAGAAGCAACACACTTCTGCAAAATCGAAGGCCAAATTAATTGGACTATCATAAGTTAATGAAAAAAAAAGAAGAATAGAGATTAATGTGATCACTACTATTTGATGCAAGATACAGATTCAATTTTCACCTGGGAATAGTATTGGTAAATGTCTGTTATGGTCAGCACACGAAGATGCCCATGTAACCCCAAGGCAAGAAGGAGCCCGGCATGGACAACATTGGGCTCTTCAGGCTTGTTGTATACTATCCATGTTCTTGACATCTTCCCCTGCAAGGAAAAAGCCAATTTAAATCCTTCTGAAAAAAGCTTGTGGTCAGGTAAAATATAGTAAAAAGCAAATGAGAGATGCATGTTCCACTATCTAATGTAAAACAGAACAGAGATATAACTCGATGTTAACTACCTAATAAAATCAAACAACAAATTATGAAGACAAATAAAATCAAACAAACAAATGAATTGATGTAACTATTTAATCGGTAAGACAAACAAAATCAAACAACAAATTATGAAACCAAAAGCAAACCTGCAGGGGAGCAAGTTTCAGTCCAGCAGCAACAGCATTGTGAAACTCAGGCCAACATTTGAGTTCTTGTACATTTCTAACATTTGGATCCAAATTTACCTTCCAAGCACATTGGTTTACAATAAGTCAGGAATTCTCTATAGTTCTCAACAGAAAATTCGACAGGAATTCTTACCTCTCAATTTTGCAAAGACTTAATACAAATGGAAAAGCACGACAAGTTTGAGCGGTTTAAGGGATTTGATCAAACCAAATTTCCTACTCTCTCAATGAGAGTGCAAATAAGCATTACAATTCAAAAAAATAAAACAGCAAATTACAGCAAATCCTTCACAGATTAAAACTGAACATACTGTTGCATTCTGTTGTGCAGGTAGCCGGCCTGCTAAAACAAGCTTTGGGACTGTGAGTGCCTGCACAGTGTTCAAGGCATATCAATACAACCAAGACATCTTGATAAGCAACAGTCTCACAAAAATTCCATGCAAGAGCATGAATTTGAAAAAAAAAATTCCACACACCTGCAGGAAAGAGAAAGAAATGGGCACAAGAACTAAATGTAAATACCTCTGTTAAAAGAGTACATGTCGTGGCAAGTGTGAAAGCACCACGACCAAAAGGTAGGGAAGTAGTCCTTTGAGCAAGCTGCCACAACTGCGCCTATACATGTTATAAATTTTATAAGCAGCTAAATTTTGCACAGGTACAGTACAAATTTCTGACATCCAAATCAAAAGAAATTCGATGGAAACCAAGTAGTACAGTCGTGTATGCTTTTCTTCCCATAAGTGTTTAAAAAACATGTACCTAACTAAAAAATGAATTGTATATAACTCATATTTGTCCCCGCCATACAACAGAAAGTGAATGGCTGGTGTGAGAGAAGGCAAGGAAAAGGTAAGAAACTTACTCTTAGTTCATGCAGTTCAAGGAAGCAAAAAAAAAAGACTACTACTAGTAGCTTTTTCTTCTTTCCTTCCTGCGTTATATTTTATCTTCCCTAATCCCACTGAAACTGACACATTAATATTTAAACTTTATGTGACAATATAAGGACAAATTTCTTCCATATTCTTATTTGACAGCACACATTGCTGAAAGCATCCAAAGAACCAAGATCCACACTTAAGCATGCAAGGGAAAAACAAGCAATACCACCAAGAAGCCAATGTCAAGTCAGAGTGGAGATGATTAATAACCAAACCAAACCATCATACAGCGGGGCCTTAATCTATAATAGGCTATTTAAAAAGTCAAACCCAACTCCGCAAGCTACTACTTTTACATGATACATGTCAAAGCATCTTAAATTCCAAATTTCCACACAATTACATCAAAAGAAAATTGGTTATTTTAGCTTGAAGGTTAATAGATTAAACTCAACTTGAAACATGGATCACCAGGCTGTACAAGAAAGAATAAAGTATATAATTGAAATCCACAAGCAGTTCCTAAAACTACACCAAAATTTAAAATCTGCAGTAATTGAAAATAGAAGCTTTAGGTTATAAAAGTATTTGAACTCAAAGGCGAGGACCTCATTCTGAAAGGAACAGTCGAAGACAAGCATAACAGAAGTAGCAAGAACCTTTGAAACCAAATGGTGTTTCAGAAAACACAAGAGTCTACAGTTTATGCACTTCTTACACTGGTAAGATCCAGGTTTCACTCGACTATGGGAAAAGAACTAGAAAAAACAGAAGACAAGCTGTTCATATTTTACATAAAGATACAGATTTACCCTTTCAAACATTTGAACAAGAGGTAGCATCAATGAAGTGCTAAAGAAATCAACGTACCTGCTGGAGGTCTTGATCAGATGCTGTAGGACTAACGGGTGTTTGAATTGCTATTGCCCTTGCAGAACATAATATGTGTCTAACCTACAATAAAACAAAGGTGCCGTCATGCAAAGAAATCAAAAAACTGTTTCAATAGGCTATAGCTATAGCCAAAAGGAAGCCTATTAAATTGGATGACCGCAGGGGAAACTAAGCCACTAGCAAAAGACAGCAACAGCTTGTGTCAACACCTATGTGTAAGAAAAAAACATACTCTCATGTTGCAATAAGATAATAAAACCAAGTCAATTGGCCCCTCTTGCAATTTTGGAGCAATAACGACTGTATACCTTTATAATTGCATATAAAATTGTCCAAGTAAACTTTCAAAAACAAGTAAAACACATGGTTGAAAATAGCACAATGTGGAGAACAATTTGTTTTCGTAGAGGTATCCCAATTTTCAAGGTATATTCAGGCATGACTATGACATCCCAGAATCAAAAAACTTTTTTTTCCATCTAGGTAAATACAAAGGCAACAAAATTAAGCCAGGCAGTTAAAGCAAAGCAAATATGCTTCCTCATGACAAACAGAATCACAAAAAGAGAATGACAGAAAGATGTCGAGTCCAAAAGGATAACAACGAATGTAAAGAAAATGATGAAAAGCATGCACAAAAGAAATTCTGAAGAGGAAACCTGATTAGTGAACATGTCTTGTAGAGCATATAAACGCAGAGGGTCGCATAATGTTGTTGCAATATATTTGTAAACCGTGATTTTTTTAGAATGAAGACTTGAGATCTTTATTCCAATACTTCATCAGGACAGGATATATTATCAATTAGACGTGGTCAAAACCAACTAACCTCATTTAAACGCAGATCACGACCATATCGCAACTGAGTGCTGGAATTGAAAATATGCTCCATTCCATCCATCAAAGATCCATCAACTGAATCAACATCCTCTAGCTTATTATTCTCCAACTCAATTGTATCCGAAACTAAGGAAGGAATTGTCACAGGCTGCAGGTGAGCCATGTAAGGGGCAGACTGAAAAGTCAAACTTCCATTTGTATGAAGCTCATTTTCCTTGGGTTTTCTTGGATGAACAGGACATGACCAGGCAAGATCTTCCCGCCCAAGGAGAATATATGCAGCAGCCGGCCAGTCAGTGGGAGGAGAATCACGGCACTTAGCTAGTGCCTAAATATCGCAGGAAAGAAAATTACATAATGGATTTCAAGCCTAAAAGATCAAAAAAGAATCTAGACAATCTAGAGGAGATTTTTATCAACCAAGACCCAGAGCAACAGTAAGACAGAGGAATACAACAAATAACCACCAAATGGTCCATAAAAGCATAAGAAGTAAGATCAGAATAGCACATAATGACTAAAATTAAAAGTTTGTACCCGGTACCCATGTACAACTAAGAAGAAATCACCTAAAGAAAAGGATAAAGAACTTTTATTATTAGATGGAATCTAAGCTCATTATGTCTCTCCTTAATTTGAATCACACAATCATGCAAAAGTTAGACATGTCAAGTTTATCTATCAAAGGAGTCAGCCTACATGAGCAGAATCAGACAATCTAGAACTGATACAGGTGACCCCCAGAATATGGGAAAACACTCTTAACTAATTAGGTTGTAAAAAAAATAACAAAACTCTTTCAGCTGTCAACTTACGTGGCGCAATGGAAGAGAGACACCAACAGGCAGCAAGTCTAATTCTTGCAAACCAAATGCTTCTCCAACCATGGCTAAAACGACTAGCTCCTCTTTAGTAGAATGTGATCCAGATGCTACAGTATAGCAAACACCAGATGACAGCCCCTTTCCCAATTGTTCCGCACCACACAATAGACTGTAAAAGGATACTATCTTCCTTGCCCAACAAACAGCCGAAGTCCCATCTTTACGAATTAGAAAAGGAAGATCACTAATTTTAGCTGAACTATATCCGTGTAGCAAACAGCTTTCTAGCCATCTAAAAAGACTAGGAGGAATTTCATTCATCAATGATGACTGGCACATTCCAAAGTCATTTGAAAGACTAGGAAAATCGCGCATATAATAATCCAAATAGCCTTCTTCGCGCAAAGAATCAGCAATATTGCACAATAAAACTACAAGAAGACTTACATCCCTACAAGAACATTTAATTTAAAGGTCAATAAACCCTCAAAAGACAAGTAAAATTGAATAAAATAAATTTCATTAATTAATGTTAATATTAGTCAAATATAATACCATGCCCAACAACTACATAAGCAAAAGTCTGCAAATTAAAAATATCTCACCAAGCTAAAGAATTAACCATGGACATGAACCTCCGCAACAAGTTATGATTAAATCCAAATAACTGCAGAATTCATGCATATCAACATCTTACACTGTTTATGTGAATGCATATTGATTTATCAAGCTTTTTCTATCCTTTTTCCCCTTTTTGTCCATCAAGCCTTGAAAAGCACCAGACATGGAAATTAACTACTAAAAGAAGAAGCTTCAATCAAATAAGTACAAGCTTGCACTGTCAAGACTCAACTTCAGGGTAAACTCATAAAATGCATTTGGTTACAAACTATAGGAATCTTATGCTATCCCACTACAGAAATAACCAATGATAAACCAAAAAGGTCAGTTTTTGGTAAATGCAAGAACAATTACTTGGCCTCCCAAAAACGTGCACATCTCTAAGGTTACCACAATTGAGAAAAATAAAAGTAGATGCCTATCGTCCTAAGGGTGATGCTGACCATCATTCTGCATAAGCCCATGATTGATGGTAACTTGACCACCTTTGATTTGCACATAACACTCCCAAAGTGCCAATATTCCAGCTCAAGTAATATAGTTGTGGTTCTTTCAAGTAAACCAATGGCAAGTCACAACATGTTTATATTTTCATGATTCTGTGATAGCGTGTCAGCATGTGAATATGTGTGTATCTATCTATTGTATATATGCATATTAGGAAGCGAATGAAATTGAAAAGGGAAACATACACATATACATGCACACATACATACTGACAGAGAGGGCAAGAGAGGAAGGGTGAGAAAAAGTGGTCAGTCAAAAGCAAGAAAGAATCAGAAGTGGCTCTGAACAGGCACTAACTGATAATTTTTAGGAAACAAAGAGGTTACCGCTTGCGGAGAATGTCAAGTTTCAGGCTTTCATATACTGCATGAAGTGAATCTAGAATCTCCTTTAATAACTCGATGTAAAATGATTCTTCATGATTGTCTGTTCTCATTAGAAGTGACCGGGATGAGTCTGATCCCTGAAGGTTACACGATGCCACAGGTGGAATTCCAGCAATACTATTATGCTTGCCATAGTTCTTATGATACATGCTGTTGATCAGAAACTCCCATGATGAATGTGAATCAGAAGACGAAAGTTTTAGAGAGACATCACTAGACCTTCTGCTAAGTGTCATAACCACGTGACAGAAGGACTCCCATTCTGAATTGACAGCTGAATCCACCTTTGCCATAAAAGCTGAACCACTATCACCCCATAATAAAACAAGAAAGTGATTGTAGAAACTAGGATTAAGTGCTTCAGCCATGGCTGTGATGCAATTGTTTACTAGTGATGATGAAGGATTACACCGAAGAATACATCGGTATATCTAGAGAGAGGAGAGAAAAGACATCAAAAACAAATTAAGTGTCAGCCACAAACATGACCCATAGAGGAAACATACTATGCAGAATCACAAAATAACAACCAGAAACTTAGCCAGAACGTATAAACGATTGACTGCATGCTTGGAAGAGGAAAAGATGGGTCCACACTACTAGCAAACAAGATGACTTAGTTTTTATGCCCAATTAGCCAAGTATCACCCTTGGCAGTTGATCATTAAAAATAACATCAAGCAAGTGACAAACCTAGGAAGTTGATGACTGCAGTCCAGAATGAAGCTAACAGAATTACTGGAAATGAAATTAGTGCTCAAGAAATAATTCCCATAGACCGAAACTTTTTTATTATAACCACTACAAGCATCAGTAGTTCAACAAATTCATTGACAATCAATGTTAGATTAATCAACAGAGTGACAGAGAATTAGGCAGCTAAAAGGTCAGTGAAAGAAGACTCAAGATATGATCATCATTTCAAAAGATAAATGTTCAAGGTAAGGAATTTCACCTTTCATAGGGCGGCCCCTCATATCAGGCATAAGCTCTTGTACAGCAGTTGGAAAATAATACTATAGCATCTAAATTTGACTTTGCCCAAGTTTTTTACAATGAGAGATGTTCAGAACAAGACTTCTGACTTGAGAGCATTAATTCAACTCCAGAAATTACTCCCTCACCCTAGGAATGGTGTTTTCTTGAGCCAAAGGAAATAAAATTACATATTTGAATCTATTTCAAGTCTTGTCGCTCCTTTGTTGGTATATTTCATCAAATTATTACACTGGAGGTGAGTAGCACATCTTTAATTCAATCTGAAAACCATCGATCAGAAAACTGTACATTTTAGCATTGACCAGCCAACTCTGTCAATGATCACACAAGCTATGGGATATTTCCAGCAAAACTATATGTACAACACCTTTCTCTACATGCGGATGGTAGGGAAATGTACAGTGGTGCAAACAAGCAATCCTAATCAGACAGGTTAGCATATATACTCTATTTGATTGATTGCATCATTTCCAATAGGTCCTATTTAACAACTAAGCACACCACCTTTAAGTGTCATATCATTCTGTTAGTCTGGACTTACATGTGATAGACAACAAATCAGTCACAATTTCTGCTAGAATTTGCTCCCAACCACAATATTGACCCAAAATCCGCTGAGATATCCATAGCAACTAATCTTCCAAAAGAAAAAGACTAAGGGTCTGTTTGATAACATAAAAAAATGCTGAATCTGAACTTTTTCAGACACTCAGATGTTTTTAGTATTTGATAAATGAAAATTCATTTGCTAAACTTGTTAAGTAGTGCTGAACTTGTGTGTATTTTTTTCAGCACAAGAATCCTAACTGAATGCTTAATTCTGATAAGAATCAATAGAATTACTTCAACTACCTTATATTATCTACCAAATCTACCCTTATTTATTAATTAAGTTCGAAATTCTTATATAATTGAACAACCTAATATTCTCTATCTCATGATTTTCTATTTCTCTTTTCTCCCTTTTGAATGACTTTCACTTCTTCTCGGTACTCTTCATATAATATAATTCATCTTTTATATTAATTTGATTTAAAAATAAATATTATCATTTTCATACCTTACACTTTTAGCTAATTAAATCATAGGTTCTATTTCTTTTTTGGATGAAAAAATATAAGGGCAAAATTGTCAAATTTAACTTATTAAGCATTCAGTTATAAATGTTTATCAAACAGTATAAATAAGTTTAGCATTAAAATTCAGACATTCACATATTTATTTTCAGTGCTTAAAATTCAGCAAATTAATTGTTTCAGTATTCAGATTTCAGAATTCAGACTTCAAAATTCAGATTCAGTTTTATCAAACGGAACCTAAGTCGCAAGAAATATAAATAGCAATTCATCCATAGCCACTCAAAGAGCAAACTGTCAAACATGTCAAACACAAAAGTCTCTCCCAACAGGCAATAATTAGTACATGGGCAATTTTAAACGTAACCAGAACAAGTAAAAGATGTGCCAAATACTTCTTAAACTTTAGACAGTGGGGAACGTGATTTAACAAGTATACCTTTCCACTATTTACAACAACATTTACACGCCCTTGAACAGCATCAGTCAACCCAGTAGCTTTTATTTCATGAATAATGGATGTCTCTGAAGACTTTGTAACCCACGACAGCTGATGGTTACCCCAAAATGAAGGCAATGTGTATCTACAAAGGCATTGCTTCCCAGACTGCAACAGTACAAAATCAACAAGGTTAGCAAACTTTTACATCATAGGTGGAACAACCATATAGACAACTTCCACCAAAATGCCAATTTACTAAGATTGAAAGTGCCAAACCAGGGCCACTCAAACAGCAATCCTATCTCTTTCTTGTTATCTTGTTTGGTATGAAGAAAAAGTAAGGTAATGTGCCAAAATATTTATTTTTTCAAAATTAAGGAGGAAACTTGAGCCTGATAATCTTTTCTTCGTTCCTGGCAAAGAAGTCAATGTTAAACTCTAAAAAAAAAAAAATGGACAAACAATTGGTGCAAAGACATGACTAAAGTATCTCAAATACGACAAAAACTAGAACAGACTCCAAAAACGTGGGAAAGGTATCTGATTCAAAGGAACAAAAACAAATAAACACTAACAAGCAGATTTATTAAGCAAAACTGCAAACAACCTGAAAAGACGTCAGTACCCCCTAAGTTGTTTAAAAACTTGACAACTATTGGCACTGATTATGTACAGTTGCTTCCATAAGAAAAAAAAAACTGGTAAAATGGAATTGGTTTGATGCAATATTGAAAAATGAAGAAGTTATCGAGAATGACTTTGCATAATTCCTCTTGTTTAAATGTGAAGATAATTCGTGCGAATGAGGGGTTGCCAACTTGAACAACTTACATAGAGAAGAAGGCTGTTCTCTGACGTTAAAGCAATGATGTCTACAAATGGAAGCAGGCCAATGTTCACTCTGGAAGAAGTAACTACAATGTGAGTCTGTAAACAACAACAAGTGACACAGATTGAGCAAACAAAACATACCTAGGACGGGTAACAATAACAGGTTCTGCAGCAATTGCCGGAATGCTCCAGCTCATGTCAGGTTTAATATCATAAACAATTTCATCATCTATTTCTACACTATGAAGCCGGACTGATAGCAACTTTTTTTGCTCATGGAGAAGAAAGCAAATAATTTGCACAGCATCGTCATCAGTTGCCAAAAACACCTGGTAAAACAACTTCAGCCAGTGGAGTTACAATACACTAGGAAAAATAAGGTACCAATCTATAATGCATAATGCTTGATGAACATAACAGAGTTACTTAGATATATATTACAGTTCATACCACTATTGACAAAGGAGTATTAAAATGGCATGGGAAAGTGCAATAAGTACTTAAAACAACAATAAACAATCCAGCTTTCAAGTGATTAAAGTCAAAACTATGGGACTAACTTATCAATAAATAATTTACAGGCAACAGTAACCAAGTTTGAAAATGAAGTATATCTTTGAAAACCAAAAAGAGATATGACAACGATGCTTCATAGTGGAAAGGGAATGACAAGTCTTTTAAATCTTTACAGTATAAGAGGACCATGCAGTGAGCTTTAAGCCTCGTATAGTTCCACAGCTCATCCACTACCAAGCAACTGGTGTACAGGAGCATTGAGCTTCCAATGATATGTCTTGACTTTCCAGGAAGGTGTAACTTATGACAACTTAAAAAAACTTAACCTAATATGCCATCTTTAGAAAGCAATTATGAATTTTTTGCACAAATAACATATACACGTATAATAATGTCATAATTTAACAGCAGCCTTTCTGATGTCCTAGGCTAACATAATTAAGAAAAAATACCAGAAATTTTTCATGTTGATTATGACATAAGAGAAAAGGCATACAAAAAGCATTGTTGCTCTACTCTATTTGAAGTTTCCCCACAAAATTCCTTTACATAATAACAATACTTACTACAATTACCATAACACAAATAACAGATAAGCTACAAGTTCTCTAAAATATTCATTTCAAAGTGTATCACTCCATAATGCTGCATGTGAGTATTGACTTCCATCAAACCATCAAGAGCCTTGTCCAATTAATCTTTTAGCCTATACAATTACCACATCACCAGAGCAGAAATCAAGTGAAAGGAAAGCCCAAAGTTAAATCTGGTGCATGGTATTTCTTTAAAGTAATTTTATTCATGTTTAAAAATGTGGATTGCCTTGATAAAGAACTTAAAATTGACAAACAAGAAATGACAAACAGTTTAACAGTTTCAAAAAGCACCGATTGATTTTCTTGACTTCACTTTGAAAGCACCATGTGATATAACAACAAGTTGAACACCTTACTAGAAGGACCATTTGAGCCCTTCCCCTGCCATATCCTTCGAAAGGAAATTTGTTTTGTTAGCACCCCAGCAGGCACTACATCAGATAATCCAGATTTTACCACTTCGAGGTTAGAGTTGATAATTTCTGCAACCCACACCGAATGTTGCATCTTTCCTTCAAATGGAGAGGTAAAACATGGAAAATTAGTGTTCAATTTGATTTCAAAGAAATTGGAGTGATAGCTTGTAGAGATCACAATGAGCTACCTTTGTTATAAGATGCCATCAGAGGAACACAATTACTGGTCCATATTGTTCGTTCATCAAACTCTTTAATGATGTTTAGTTTTCCTCTTTCCTCAATATAAGTTGGCTGAGAAATCAAGAAAATACTAAGATATTATACTGAAAAAAAAAAAAGCACAGCCTTCTCATCAAATCAAATGAGAACAGCAAGAGAGCTTAACAGTATTCACCTAGAACCAGAAAAGTAAATAAAATATGCAAGATTCATAATAGAAAAACGTTTTGCATGCCTGAGGTTCTTCCAGTGGATCCTTCAATATCAAATGTGAGGATCCTGAAGTTCCATCAGCCTTGTAGATAAAATCAAAGGCATGAGTTGCAGTAGAGTTATTTTGAGAGCTGTATCCAACTTCCCTTCTTGAACGAGCAATATCACGAGTGCTTAGAGATGCAGAAGGAGACGAAAATGGAATGTGCACTGAGAAATTCCCTTCGGGTGCATCTTGTATGAGTAAACCCAATGGAAGAGGCCAAACTGATATAATGCTGTGAGGAAGAGGAACAGATGCAACTTCACCTGTGGACAAGATCATCAATATTCTTTATTGAATCTAAATCAAGAACATGCATGTAGCATGAGAAGCACAAGAACAAAAAGAAACATAATGGCACAGGTTTTTTGCATAGGCAATTATTCTAAGCATCCCTGAATTCACTGTTTACTGTTAGGATGCAGAAAATGCAAACATACAATCACAAGTCCTTCAAGAACCAAGTGGCTCCATAACATTCTTCGATAACCTAGGCAAAAGAAAAGAAAAGGAGAGAAGAGAAACTGAAAATGTCTGGTTCCCATTCTGCAGGACCACGGATCCAATCTTTGTTTCAAAAATGACATTATCAATGGTCTTAAGAAAAGAAAGTACAGGTAAATCATCAAAAGACTGTAACAGCAGGCATTTAATGCTAGTGCAAAACAGAGAGCTCATCAGATCCAGGAAACTCGAAAAAAAGTGGGCCAAAGAAAATGGTGAAAGTAGGACAGCAGAAGAACTTTTATGAGAAGTAAAGTAACAGCAGTCATGCTAAAGAATCCAGAAGAAGTGAATAGTACACAAAAGTATGAAATATGTACCTGATGTATTGTAGATGGTCAAACTATTGATCTGAAGAACACAAAGAAGAGCCTCCGACAAATCACCCATCCGGCACCAACATGCCTAGATTTTGCAAGCGAAATGATTGTTAAAACTTCCCATTTGGAAATAAGGAAGAAAGGTCAGCAGTCATGGATGCTAAAGTTGCTCAAGGAAATTTCTAAAGCAAAATCTATTTTAGGTAAGAGATCGTGGGAGTATAGAGAACTAACATGTGTATGGAAAAAACTGAGGCAACTCATAGGGTGCAATATACAAAAGGCTCCATGAGTTACAACCTAAACTGCAACTTATCAAGCTAATGCTCAAAACTGATAGCTCTAGCAAGCTTCAGAATTTTCATTTCTTTCTCCATAACAGCATCTTATGTTTGGTATATGAACCCTCAATATCATCTTTCTTTACATGCAGTGATTCAGGATATTCAAAGCCGCTAGGCAGGATCCATCTGTCAGCCACTGACTTTCACAACGTAGAGTAGTGTCGACATATAGAAGAAAGACCAAGAAATTTAAATCAATTTGGAGAGGCTAATGCATTAAACTAATCATTTCCTTCTAGAAAAAAATTTGATGCCAAGGCAACACAAGCAAAGATTTCAGCAATAGAAGAATCTTAGGAATCACGCCATAACCCACTACAATTGCTAATTGATTTGAAAGCCAAACTGGATTTTCTGGCTTATTCGAGTAATAAATCAATTTATGAGCACTAAACAGATTCCTATTGAAGCTGAGCAAATACACAGACGTCTTAATTCATCCCATTCTGATAGCAGTTACAGGCCAAGCACCTTTAAACTAATCAAAAGTAAAACCAATGGAGAAGTTGAAGATGAAACTATTAAGTAAAGTAAGCAAAATCACCTTCAAGACTTTGGACGGAAAACTGAATCTTTTGTACACTCTGGCGCCAATGCTCCATATTATCCTGTCATGGTTGACAAACATAAACGATCAAGCTAAATTGATCAAATTCACCTGACAGTACATTGCATAACCTGCTTTCTGAGCTTGCTATCTCAGCTAAGTCTGATGTCCTTAGCATATATTCATAATTGACCACAAAATGCAGCCCCAATTTGAAAATTCTATTGAACTAATCAGAAATTAGATAAACACTGCAGAACATTATTTGATAATATTACCGGTTTCCTCCGATGAAGAGTTCGTGTTCACTCCCATCGGTAGTCGACGATGTGCAGACCGTATTCTCGGCGTCGTCTCTTTGTCGGGCAACTTCCGGGTCGAACAAGAAGTATGAGTAATCATCCTGGGGATTGTCAGAAGAAGATTTGCCGTCGAAAGCTTCGGCGACCAAGCCGAATGGTTTGAACTCGCCAAGCACATTCAGTTCTCGATCACCGACAGGCATTGCCCTAGGGTCAGCCAATAGTGTCAGAAAGGGGTGAAGGATAGTCTAATTTTTTTTTGGGCTTTCCCGCTCTTTTTAGCTTTTTGGTGTTGAGTAGCTTCAGGCGAGTTCGAAATTGTAATGACTGCCCTAGTGGCAGAAGAGAATGGCGAGGCCAAGGAAACGGATTAATCAATAGTGCGGGAGCGACGGGTTGGTGGCAGTGTGGCACGTTGGAAGAGGGGGCATAAGTGGGAAATTGGAATTTAAGACTTTTTATTTGTGTTATAAAAATTAAAATTTTAAAAAATGATTAATCAATGAATGATTTACTTTAACAAAAAAAATTTTGAAAAGTCATTTGATTTAAGGCTGCAATTTGGTTCCATGAGATTGGCATTAAATTGGAACAAATGGCAAGACCAAGGAAAATAGATTAATTAATAGTACGGGAAGGAATTGATTTGGTGGTATAAGAGATGGAGTATAAGTGATAAAAGTGAATTTGAAAATTTTCACCTACATTAAAGAAATTAAAACAAAAAGACTAATCAATGAATGATTTACTTCGTCAACAAAAAGATTTGAAAAACCATTAATTTAAGACAGCGTTGGTTCCATGAGATTGGAATTAAATTGGAACCACAAGCACAGCACTCCATAAAATTGCGAACTTATGAATTCAAGACATTAATTGAATTCTTTAATTTGGCAAATGTACAAGGAACTCATTTGGAATTCCAAATATTGTGACGAGATAATACCCCATTGACAATTACAGTTGCTACATACATCGGTTTAGCTATATAAGGGGTTAAATACTAAAAACATCCTTAAAGTTAACCGAAAACTCAAGTTAACTTCTTATGCTTTTGAAACCTACATAAAACCCATTTATTCCTCGCGCGCACATATATATATATGTATGAATTTGGGTACGTTGTGAGATTGAATTTGAATTTAGTATAAATCATATAAGAAAGGGTAAAAAATAAAAAAATCCCCCGTGGTAAGTCTAATACACAGAAAAAACCCTCTATGATTTTAAAATATACAACACGATACCTCATGCTTTGAACTAAATGATAAAGGTAACGAAATCCGTTAAATTTAACGAAAATGATTTATTGAAACCTAAACACATTTTTTTATACCTTATTTTTATCAAATATACCTATTCTACCCCTTAACCTTCAATTCTCTCTATTTAGAGAATAAAACAAATAATTTTTTTTAGTTGTCTTTTGTTTAATTATATCATGACATTTTGGTCATTTTGTCAATTCCCGTTAAGTTTAATGGTAAAAAATAAAAAAAAAACCTCTGTGATAAGTCTAATACACAAAAATCCCTATAGTTTCAAAATATACAACACGACACCTCATGTTTTGAACTAAATTGTAAATGTGACAGAATCTGTTAAATTTAACGAAAATAACTTATTGGAATCTTAAAAAAAAATTATATCTAATTTTTATCAAATATACCTATTCTACTCCTTAACCCTCAATTCTCTCTATTTAGAGAATAAAACAAATAATTTTTTTGAATTGTCTTTTGCTTAATTATATCTAGGCATTTTGGTCATTTCCGTTAAGTTTAACGGATTCCGTCACCTTTACAATTTAGTTCAAAGCATGAGATGCCGTATTGTATATTTTGAAATCATGAGGGGTTTTTCTGTGTATTAGGTTTACCACAGGGGATTTTTTTTTATTTTTTACCTTAAGTTTAACGGATTCCGTCACCTTTACAATTTAATTCAAGCATGAAGGGTCATGTTATATATTTTGAAACTATGGGAGGATTTTTGTATATTAAATTTACCATATGGGGCTTTTTTGTTTTTAACCTATAAAAAATCATATTCCACGGGATCCATGAATCTCTTATAAAGTTGGGTCTAAACAGAATAACGTGTATGAAAAAAAAAAAAATCTTAATCCATAAAAAGTGTGCTAAGTGTGAATTGAAGGTTCATTGGCACTCCTAAGTCCTAACACACGATTTGTAAGTAATATTGACAGAGTTTCCAAGCACGGAATCTAACACAAGATAATCTCAAGGGGTACCAATTAAAGAGCTACATACTAGTGATCACTAACAACGTATGAATTTCTTCAAATTATTACTGAAGAAAAGAATAATGTAATTGAATTAAGTTGAATCGAACTTGATTTAAATATTAAAATTCAAATTTAAATAGAGATATTAATAATAAAAGTTAAAAAATTACCAAAGTGTGTGAAATCGAATTTGAACCAAAATTTTAATAAAGGTTAAAAATCGAGTTCAATCGAACTTGAACCAAAGCTTTAATAAAGGTTGAAAATCGAATTCAAAGAGAGTGAAATTGCTTATTTTATCTAAAACCTTACAGGCTACATCCTGTTTAAGAGGCATATTATTCTATGCCTACCGAGCAAACTAATTTGAGTTACATGCCTGCATTCTTATTGCAGAAGCATGTTTTGTTCCGTACCCACCACCTGAGCAAAATTAATTCGAGGTACATGGCCGCATTAAGCAACAAGGAAATAGATACACAGAGCCACTAACGCGCATAACACGTGAGGGTACACATTTGATCAGGCATACACCATTACATATTTGCGCGCACAAAGCGGTGCGAAGACCGTTGTCCAACTTCGAACTTAACGTAGACTTCCGTTCACTCCTTTTTACTTGCTTTAATTTGACGAATCATGCTAATAGTATCCAACAAAAGAAAAAAAGAAGTAAAAAACATGGGCCAAGGAACACCAAAACACGACGTAGAGACGACAGATAAATTGATAGTATTATATTACTACAAAAAGAGGTACAATCCAACACGCCAAAGTACACCCAAAGCTAACCATCAAACACGAGAAAATAAAAAAAAAAAAATAATCTTGGCCTGCAACAGTAGAGCCTGGTCAACCCACATTCTACAGGTACAGGCGGCGGAAAGTGGAAACTAGAAAGCTACTAATTGTTATCCCTGATATTTTTCTTTCTTTTTTTTATGATTTATTTCACTTGTTTATCTTTTTCAACTTCTGGTCGTAAAGTAAACTTGGACTCCTCGACAGGGATTCCTTCCTCGGCAGCACGCTCTCCGCCAGGCTCGTCCCCACTCCCCAGTGCTTAATCCACCTTTACGGCCCAACTCTCTTGGTATCCTGCTGTTCCCTCCTCGTCTGCCCCCCCCCCCCTCGGCTCCTCCCTTCGCAGGGTAAATTTGTTGCATATATGTATTACCCCTTTTTGGCTTAGACCCCAAACGTCAAGAATCGAGTTTAACTCTCTTCGTATAATTAATGAATTAAAAGGAAAAGTTAATTACCTTTAGCAAGGTGCCCTTGAGCCATCCGGAACAACCGTCTCCCCTTGCCTTGCCCTGGCATCCAGTTCAGCTCTTTCTTGTTCAGTAGACATCGCATTGTCCCCTTGCGTCTCACGCTTGTCAGTACAGTACCTTACTTGTTAACGACAACAGCACGACAATGATGATCGCGATTTTGAGCTAGAGTGCTGTAACTGCTGTTAATGTTATCGAGCTTCAAATGGTTTTGGCGCGTTGGACTGGGAGCTAACTTCAACCAGATTAATGAATAGATGCCACGTGGTTGCTGATGTAGCAGAACAAATGATGTCGTAGGGTGACACGTGCAATTACCGTCTGCTGGACACGTAATGACTGACCTTTTTCCCCACTCAATTCCAGGAATGATGAGGCATAAGTTCAAATTTAACGCCTCCAAACCCATTCGACAAACATTACGAGATGGCGTTTACTAATCAAACAACCTTACTTTGTCAGGTACCTGGGTGAATCAACGTCCTCAATGGTCAAAAATTATTTTTCAGATTAGAGAGCGATCAGTAATTTTCCTTTTTGGTAGGAGAGTAATGGGTGGTTTTGGTCAAATTTGACATATTTGAAGAGCTTAAAAAATGGAAGGCGGAGACCATTGATACCTACCCAAAGGATTAAATTGACAAAATACTCAATTGTCTAATTTGGGGATTCAAAATGGAATTGAGCCTAATAATTTTCTGCATTCAACGCTAGTAGTACATTATACATGTTGAATATTGATAATGTTATCACTCATCTTTGTAGTTTGTATATGCTGTATAAATGTAGCTGAGTTTTTATGATCATTAGACCACCAAGTCGATCTTTTGTCTTTTCCATGTTCCTCTTTTTTCATTTTCAGTGCATTTTTATCTTTATTAAATAAGCTTCGCGAAAAAAGCAGTCGTCGTTCTATTGGTATTGACGATCTACTCATAAGCAAAGATCTCATCCAACCAACAAAATGGTCATCAAAAGCGTGCCTTTGAGAAGAAGACCGGTACTACAACTTTTCACCTAATATTTTTCCCCTATACAATGACGCAGCCGATGAAGTTTTCGGAATAAGAAGGTGGGGCTTCATGCACCAGGAGTTATGAGGATGGTTGATCGTGCTGGTTAACTGAATGGTTGGGCGAGAGAAAAGTTTTGAACCTAATATTTTAGTATGTTCTTATCGACCTGCGATTTCCAAAACAGGATTCATTCTAGGTCGCATTTGAGGTCTGCATGCGGGTGTAAAAGTCTGGCCTCAGGGTCCCCGCACTTAATATAATTGGCATTTTTTGCAAGCTTACCATTTTTTTTTATTAATTTTTTATGCACCCACCGACAGTGTATAGATTTTAATCATTAGATGCATGACATATGCATTTTTACACATGTGTCTAAATCCAATCCAAATAGTATATGCACCGTCAGTGTATATAAGATTTACTTTCTTTTTTTTTGATGAAATGACTTAGAAGGCTAGCGGTTCTTGATAAATGCCGGTATACATGAGTTAATAATTATTCATCAAGAAAATATTTGATTAGTAAAATCAAATTGCTAAGGCGGGAATCAGCTAAATCCCAAGCAAACCAATCCATGAGGATACATGCTCACATAGTAGCCATCAGTAGAGATGTTTTGGCTTTTCATGAATTGCATGAGAAATGCCCTTCGAGATTTTAAAGTCATCTCCATATTTTTCTTCAAAGCTTAAATTAACGACGACTTAGTGAACATGATTCCATGTTAACATGAGATTTAAGTAATATACTGCAAGTTTAATACATTATTAAGTTCGCGCCAAAAATGTATCACAAAAATGTCTTTAACACAACAGAAGAGATTGGAGATGTGACGACG